AAGTCCGGACTTCTGGGTGGCCAAGTAAAAATGCTTCCACGGCTTGAAGAAGTTCCTCTTTATTTAAGAAGAGATATGTGGTTCATGCACGACGGAGCTCCACCGCATTTTTCTTGGCCAGTGCGTGCATATTTAGATGCAGTTTTTCCAAATCGCTGGATTGGCCATGTAATCATTTTTGCTTCACCATCAAGAAGTCCGGACTTCAATCCTCTTGATTTTTCTATTTGGTCTCGAATGAAAGATATAGTTTACAAAGAATCTATTGGCTTCTTCTATCTATTAATTGTTACACCATATAGTCCAATCAATCTGTCACGGCCTGTTGTTAAATTTATAAAAAATACCACTTGGAAATAAAAAATATGGTCATATAGGAACAAAAATTCTAAGAAAGGTGGTGTATTTTTCTTGTGGCGCATAAACGGCCATAAAGTTAACCTAAAAAATTCATAAAAAAAAAGAAGTTTTTCGCTAATAAAAAAAGAACTTGAACTCCAATGGAAAAAAGTTAAATGAGAAAGTTGTAGCTATTAAAAAAACCTATCGATTCGTATTTTTAAATATATGATTGCTATTTTACTTTTCGTGATATATAGAAAATACTGTCAAAAATAGACTTTTTTTGTTTTTGCTGTATCTTTTGCAAATTATGGTTTTCAAAATTGTTACTTGCTGTAAATGTAGCCCTCGGCAAGCAAAAAAGTACGTTTTTTAAAATTAACAACTATTAAAAATTCTTCGAGTTATAACTTTTCGAAAAAAAGATCATCTCGAAAATCGGCTCTTCTTGCTCGACGAATAGTCACAGAGAAACGAATCAGGACTCATTTTTTCCTTAAGAGTTGTACTTTCATGGTAAAAAAGAGTGATAACGATTCTATTCATTTCAAGTGTTCAAAATTTTTTGGTCGCGTTTTTCTTCAAAATATCTTTTTCGATTTTCATTTCTCGATAATGTCTATCAATATTTCATATGATGACTATGCACTTATTATCCATAGTTAAGTGTTGTACTATCACTTATAAATCACGAATCACCCTGTATAGCCTTAAATACTATAATTTCGTCATTATCATTNGAAAGAGCAGCTGCGGGGCGGTCAGGATACATCGACAACCGTGAGGGGGCGATTCACTTCCCAACTCCTCGGCCAACTGTCGATCCGGACAACTACGTTTCTACTAACTCCCTCCAGGTCCTGAAGGAGGACACTGAAAGGTCCCTGCGGGTATCCCAACGGCCCTTGAGGCGTGACGCGGCTACGCCCTATGCGTTACGACCTGAAGGACGTCCGGAATCCACCCCCGCTACGTCGACCAATCAGGGAAGAGGAGCGATAACGCGACAATAGTTATACCCACTACCTATTACAGTATTACAGACAAGAGGACAAGGGACGAGACAAGAACTAGGAAAATGGACCACAACTATACGTTTCGATATAATTTGAAGAGCAACTACTTAGTCAGTGAGAACTATTTGAATTATGGATGAATCAAGTGAAATAGACGTCATTTATTTTATATTTTGTACAAATGTTTATATTTGTGCTTAAATAAAAGAGTTTAGGTATACCTGCAGATATTTACATTGTCAAGATATTTTGTATCTTTATTTCTGCTGTATAATTTATTATTATTAAAAGGATAGATGTAATATTGACCATGCGTAGAAGAAATTATAACTATATTATTTTTCAGTAATGTTATTATTTGTTTTTCATGTACCTATCATTTCAAGATTCATAATCATAACTAACTTTTTCTAATTATCAGTTCGTCATTGTTACCATATTCATGATGGTCTCAATATTAGAAAATTTCCATTTCAGAAGCGTATTTGAACAATATAAAATGTGTAACTTTTTTTAAATGCTTCTGATATTGTTTTGTGACATTTTTATTTGTACGATGAATCGCAAAATTTGTAATCCATATTAGAAACTTTTTTCAGTGGCTTCTCAAAAAGAAAGAAATTCTTGGTAAAAGTTGCCGCATCCCCAAACTAGAAACGCATATTTAGTTTTTTTTTTAATATACAATGTAACTTATTTTAGTTCGAATTAAGTCATTCACAATACAAATAAAAATTACAAAAGAGTATTAGAGATATTTTAAAAAATACTCACACTATTTATACTGTTTCAAAACCGCTTTTGAAATGAAAATTATCTAAAGTTGAGAGCATTATGAGAACAATATGGTAATAAAATTATTATGTTATTCAAACATTTCTGAAAATATACTGAAACGTAAAACAAAAATATCGAGGGCATAAATGGAACAGTTACTGAAACCAATTTTTTGAAACGTTTCATTGGAAACGTATTTTGGGGAGGACATCTTGGGCTTCTAGAACGTTACCAGAACGTTGCATGGATTTTTTATGAAACGTTTCAAGAAAAATGGAAACGTTTCTGAAACATGTCAGAAACTGAAAAATGTTTAATGGGTTATTATCCATAGTTAAGTGTTGTACTATCACTTATAAATCACAAATCACCCTGTATAGCCTTAAGTACTATAATTTCGTCATTATCATTAATTCTGTCTCAGTTCGCGATGCGCGTTTCTGACTTAACCCAAAATAAAACCGTATCTCTCCGACTTAAATTTAGATTTCGACGCTACTTCTCGAAATGAGCCGGCGTCTTGCTAGTCGCTAGTCCGTGGCCGGTTATCAGAATGTCCAAGCGCCGATAGTCGCCCTCCGTGTCGATATTTTCGAAATTCGAGCAGTTTTCTAAAGTGGTAGAAATACTAAACAGCGGGCGCCATGGATCCGGAGGCATTCTTGGACATCGCCAATCAGGTGGTGAAACTGAAAATGTTTCCCTATTTCGACATCGCCCACTGCACGCTTTGCGCTCTCTCAGTCAGGGAAGATCTTGGAACCGGTACGTAAGCTAGACAAGGAGGGTAAATGCGTAAGCGCAGAGTCGTATTTAGTGCTTTTCAGAGACCAGGTTACAAAAATGTATAATAATGCACGCAAATTGGTACAAGTTTTCTTTGATTTGATGAGACATACATGTGAAACATAATTTACAATAAACAAACGGATATAAATATACTTATCTTCAAAAATATTCTAAAATGCTTGGAGTGCCATGCTGGAGAGTTATTTTAATATTTCCTATTAGACGGAAGATATATTTGGTACAGTAGACGAAATTAAAATACCTAGATATCGGCCGGTGATTAATGAAATAAAAATACATTTACATTTTAATTAACCTGTCGTTACTCGTGATTTACAAAATCATTAAATTGATAAGCAATAATCGTATTTCAACATTAAAAAATACATATTATAGTAAATTCAGTAAAAAAATATATGCTTTAAAAATCATGTATAATTAATATATAAATTCATTCATTCATTTGACAGGCAAAGTTTGGATTTTATACTTTATTTCTAATAAAGTAATTTCTTCATCAGATTAGAAGCCAATTATACCATTTCATATAATCTAAAATAAAAACTAAGATAAATTCAGCTTCTAAATGATAAAAAAAAACGTTTTATTTTAGTACCTATATCAATGACAAATTCTTTTTCGTTCAAATAATATAAAGCAATATATATTGTTTTAATATTTCTGTCAATAAACTGTATCATACTAAGACAATATAAGCTTACACTATTTTTAGAACAAACTGGGCCATTATAAGAGTTCATATTATTACATTATATATTCTATACAGGGTGACTCATAATAAGGTGTAAAAAATATAATCAAACAAGACAATTAGCCGAGTACTTAGTACCTCAGTACGAAAATGCTTTCTTTAAAAGTTACAGGTTTTTAAATATTTTTTTTGTGTAATTTTCTTAACAGTAACTTTTTAAGATGTTTGAATGAAACCAGTTTATGAAAATTTTTTTTGTCCTAAAATATAGAGATCACTAAAAACTCGTTAAAAAGTTTTTTGATTTTTGCTGTATTTTTCTTTGGTAAATAATTTCAGAAAACGTATGGTACGTTTTCCGAATCGTCACTATTTACTGTACAAAAGGGTACACTTACAGAGTATCCCAGAATAAGCTGGCAATCTCTCGGATTTCTACAGGGGACGCTAAAATAACATGGCAAATTCCTATAAAAACTTTCCCTAGAGGGCTACCCGACGAAGATACAGGCCCCTAAAGGAAGCCCTTGAAAATCGATTTTTTTTAATAACTTTTAAAATACTTTGTGTAATTTAATTATTTTTTAATACGACCGACTACATATAAGACTTCTTAAAAATTGACCCATGAAAACAATTTGGCTTATTTGGTTTACCAGGGACGGGCTAGCCGTAGCACAGTAATGTCAATTTTTTTTACACCCTTTACGATAGAGACACAAAAATATTTTTAGATAGCTTGAAACTTAAACAAAAAAGGGCACACTTGGTTGATATTGATAAAATGTTTTCGAGAAAAAACTATTTTTGATTAATATGATTTTTATTACATAATTTTGTATGTCGGTCCAATATGAACCCCTTCTAATGTTGTGCATCCCCTAGCTCTGTAGATTGAAGATAGTTGAATCCTTGTCCTTTATTGTCCATCATATTAAAAAATATTTAAATTACAGCCTTTTAAATGTTATTAAAAAAAATTTCGATTTCAGGGACGTCCTTTAAGAGCCTGTATCCCCGTAGGGGGGGGCTAAGGAATACTTTTGTAACAACTTTTTATGTTATTTAATCCAAGAGATTGACCACATATTCTGGGACACTCTGTATGTATATCAGTAAAATGCACACATTTTAATTTTCTACTAATTAAATGTATTTTTTTTTTTATAAAATTATTTAATTAGTTATTTATTATTTTAGGTATTTACTAAAAGTTAAAGTTATCATATGTTTCATAATAAAGCTAGGGACTCATATCGTTTTTAGAGAGTGGTTTCTATACTTTCAAGGCAAACATTTATGACAAAAGAATTTCTAACAGTATTACGAAATAACAAATCAAAATAGGGATTGCCAACCCTGAAATCTCAAAAAGAAATCCATATGTATGAACTAAAGATTTTTTTTCATATTAAGTATACTTTTTATTTTTCACAAAATTAAATTTTCAAATTTCATAATGTTGTAACCAGGAGGAATAAAAATGTTATACAGAATAAAAAAAACAGTGTATATCTATTGATTATGACTAAAAATATTTTGCAAATATATTGTTACTATTAAAACAATAAGGCATATCTTAATTTTGGTCTATATGAGTATTATAATAGTTTTTTATGTTGTGAAAAAATGACACATCTCAATCTTGCACTATAAAATAGAATATTAATGTTAAATATCATGAGTATCTGGACTATTAAAGAACATTGTTGTGACAAAATCTAATGGACCAGATTTTAATTTTTTATTTTGCATATTTTTTTCGTTGTGAAACTTCTTTGAGTCTAGAAATATACCCCTAAAAAATGGTAGGTATGTACGTGTTCCATGCTTTATTTTCAAAATATGATGAATTCAATTTTCACCAGCCTCCTCTGATTGTGATTGTTTTATAAATTTGAAACACAGTGGATTAGTATATCTACTCGACAGATTTTTTATTTCAAAATGTGGCCTAAATTTTGTATTTGAAACACGGTTTAAATAAAATTAGTAAAATTATACATCTTTAATTCACATTAATTCCAAATAATTTACCTTGATTCTTATAAAGTGAAGTCATATACCGAGGGTGTCCCATAAGGAACTTTGAGAGAACATTTCTCAGATAAAAATATGCACTTCTCCGAAAATATGAGCCTTCAAATTAGAATAATTTTTTTTTCAAATATTTGAAAACACTTAAGTAATGATAATTTCATTCAAATTTGTTAGCAATTTCTATATTTATTTATTGCTGTCAGCTCCTTAATTAAAGCGTAACTTCTATGCCTATGGATATTTCTTTGAAATGTCTATGTTCATTTTAGAAAAATAAATACTTACAAAGTTATATTTTCTTGGTTGTAATACCAAATAACTGGTATAATTATCTAAAATAAATAATATAATCTATCCAAATAACACTATCGAAAAATGCATACCTGACATAGGAATAATTAATTAATTATTAATTAAATATACTTCTCGTGACACTTTTATTCAAGTACTTTTCCAGCAAAAAAAGTTCTAATATTAATAATGGATGTTTTTACGTTAGCAAAAAACTCAAAATTTCGTTTTTTTTTCTTAATGACAAAATCTAGTAGGAGTATTCTTATGGAGTATAATAATTATATATTCATATAACCGATTTGAATTAAAGTTTTATTTCAGGAGCACAAGCATTTTCAAGAAAACATCCCTTAGCATGCTGGTTGTCCTACATGTTGGTTGTATTCGCGGGGGGCATGGTAGCGAACGGACTCCTTGCAGAACCAATTTTAGCACCACTTAAAAACAGTCCACAAATTTTGGTTGCTACATTAGTCTGGTAAATATATAAATAATACACTTTTTTTAAAAAGGCCAGAAAGAAAATATAAAAATTTTTCAGTTATCATTCACTTTATTTTCAGGTATATTGTATTTTACACACCGATGGATCTCGGATACAAATTGGCAAAGTTCTTACCAGTAAAAATAATATTTTCTGCAATGAAAGAAATCTACAGATGTAAGAAAGTGTACGATGGTGTTACACACGCCGCTAAACTTTATCCCAATGCATATCTAATAATGGTGATTATTGGTACACTTAAAGGTAATGGCGCTGGATTCACTAGACTTTTAGAAAGACTTATTAGAGGAGTTTGGACACCAACAGCAATGGAATTTATGCAAGCAAGTTTGTAAGTCAAATAAAATACAACTTAGGTAAAGATGTTTTACAACATTTTTTGTTTCAGCTACACAAAAGCGTCCCTTGTAGCATCCATTATCTTTATTCTCGACAAAAAGACAGAACTGATCTCAGCTCCTCATGCACTCGTTTATTTTGGAATCGTTATATTCTTTGTTTACTTCAAGCTTTCATCTATTATCCTTGGCATTCACGATCCTTTCATTCCATTCGAAAATCTGATGTGTGCGTTATTTTTTGGGGGGATCTGGGACAGTTTAGCAAAAATATTTGGAAGGGGACAACTGAAAGAAGGAGAAACTAAAGATGCAAAGAAAACAAATTAGAAAGGTAAGACAATAAAGGAATAAGTGCCAGAACTGTTTTGTTTTAATGAGCCAATATTTGACAGAAACTTCATTAAAATAACTTCTCGAAATGAACTCAAAATGTTAAAAAATGAACGATTTTGTCTAACTGCCATAAAGTCATCATATTAATCGTTTTGTTTTTAAGTTTGCTAGCAATTTCACAGATTCAGATTTCAGATTTCAAACAGATTTTAAAATAACTGTAATAGGTATCCCCCTATGCCTCTTTCAAATATCAATACTTCAGCTTGCACAATGTAAAAAATAGGCATTTTTGAATTAGGCTATTGAAAAGCAACTTTTTTAAAACAATTGAAATATCTCGAAGATCATTAGAGAGGAATGTTTGATAAAAGTTCCATTAAAATTACGTATAGAATCCAAATATGCAAAAATATAAATGGAATATTTAAAATAAGCAAGTAGAGATGACGACTTCTCGTATAACTGGAAGTGTTACAAGAATGGCATTATTTTATTTAAAGTGAGCATCCCCAAAAACCCTAGGTCCCTAATTTTCGAAATTCAAATCGAAGTAGTCTCTGAAATATTCTAATGGGTCATCACCGTAAGACAGCCTGTATATTGTAACCTAACGTGTCAATAATGATGAAGCGTTTTCCTGCGAATTTAAGAAAATATCTTATATAAATCTTATTTAAACATTTGCCCTTGATTTAATTTTCACTAGTTTTAAAAAATCATGTTATATATCTAGAAATCTTTACAAATGAAGGCTCTGATATGAAATTTTGTTTGCACAAAAATAAAATGTTGTTCAAAACCAAAAATTTTAATTTCCACCTGAATTAGTGCTGTAGATGTCAAGTATGCTAGTTACCTCTATATTTATGAAAATGTTATTATATTTTGAACAAAAATGATTTATTGATTTTTTTGCATAGTTTTTACCGTTTTCTTAAAAATTTGCAATTTGTAAACATGCTACCTTTAGATAAGATACCTTTAAATAAATTTGGAATTTACATGATTTTACAAAGTACTATTCGACATGGTTGTATCTCAAAATTAAGTTCCAAGATCAAATGTATTGGAAAGTCTTCCTAAATCGCACGAGAAATACCAAGACCTATTCTAAATTCTATTATCATTGTACAAAATATGACCTTTATTGAATTTTGTTTTTAAATTCTATGGTGTCTAAATATTATTTTCCATATAAAGGATACATTCTTTATGCAAGTATTATATTGCAAAATATTAAAATAAAATTATATTGAAATCAAAAAATATACAGGGTATTAATAATGGTACACAGCTTAATGGCAGATTGATAACGTCAAAATACAGCGATTGAGCCAAATATGCCTAAGTCAATTGTTGCTCTTTTTCGTTCTACAGGGTGTTAAAGTTGAAAACATATTTTCGATTTTTTGCTATATTTTAAGTATGTATGGACCGATTGTCTTGAAAATTTTTAGTTTTATGTTTGTTGAGGTGGCAAATACGAATATGCAAACAGTGTTGGGGTCATGTCACGTCTGTCCTATCAATGTAAAAACATTTTTAACTTTTTGTATTTTACAATTTTGAATTTTTTAACTAGAAATTATTGAACTGCATTCAATTCTAAATAAAAAATGTATGTTTGTGACAAATCGATAAACACAACCGTTTTCGAGATACAGACATTTTAAGTTTTTGAGATTCGACAGCATTTAAATTAAAAAAATATTTTTCCAAAGTAGTAGGCATTGACATAATAAATTGACAGCACATTATACTCGAAAAGTAAGAGAATATCTTAATAGAAATTTCTCGCACCGTTATATTGGACGCGGTAGCGAAGTATGTACCTTGGCCTGCAATCCACTGGATTTTTCTTTTGCGGACATCTTAAATCTCTAATTTACAAAGACATTATTGATAGTCAAGAACAACTGTGGACAAATATTCAAGAATCAGTTCATATTATCAAACAACATAGAACTTTTTTTAACATAAGACAAAATATAAATAAGTGCATTGAAGTCGCTGGTGGTGCCTTTTAGAATCTTTTATGATTAATAATTTGTTAAGATATGCATAATAAAATTTTCAGTTGCTGTAATGTTTGCATTAATTCGTAATTCAGGCTTGGTATCTTATGACCTGCTAATTTTCTAATTTAATTCCCGCCGAATCTCAAAAAATTTTAAACGTCTGTATCTCGAAAATGGTTGAATTTGTTGATTTCTAACAGTATACCTTTTTTATTTAAAATTGAATGTAGTTCAATAATTTCTAGTTAAAAAATTCAAAATTGTAAAATACAAAAAGTTAGACATATGTTTACATTGATAGGACAGTATAACTGTGGTCACGTCTAGGGGTCGCTACCCCTAGACGTGACCACAACACTGTTTACATATTCGTATTTGCCACCTCAACAAACGTAAAACTACAAATTTTCAAAACAATTGGTCCATACATATTTAAAATATAGCAAAAAAATGGAAATATTTTTTCAACTTTAACACCCTTTAGAATGAAAAGGAGCAACAATTGACTAAGGCATGTTTGGCTCAATCGCTATATTTTGACGTTAACAATCTGCCATTAAGCTGTGTACCATTATTAATAATGACTCACCCTGTATATATTTTTAGACAAAATGTAGTGGGTAAATTTATTATAATTGTCATATTTGTTTAATTTTTATAATAGATATTTGTAATTTATTATACCTACTTATCTTTCTGTTGCAAGGTCATTAGATATCGAAATATTTACAAATATCATAAATGAATTAAATAACGTATTAGGTAGAAATAAGATATGGTGGATTAAGTATCAAGATATTATTTGTATTAAGTTTATATTAGATTATATGCAATATATTATGTATGTAATCGTTTTGATGACATATACACCAGGGTCGGCTTATGGGATAAAATGTCTTTACAATTTGAACAGCAAGCAATTCTTTGTTTGTAATACTGTCAATCATTCACAGTATTTAAAACCAAATAATGAAGATTTGCTTAATACTACCAATTCTGAGATAATATACTATGTAATTATATGTAGCTAAATATATTTAGATGTTATAGAAATATTCACGAAAACAAGCAACCAAGTGATGTATGTTTGTATTTCATATTCACATGAAATCTATATCTACAGATTTTTTCCTTGCAAGTCTCATTACTGAACAGTATTTTTTAACTTGCTACTGCTTTTCATATGGAAAATAGCATTTAGATTTTGTTCAAGACTGGTAAATAATGTTTCCAAAACAACATAAAAATAATAAAATATAAATCTGAAAGCTTCTCTATGAAGGTGATTTAAAATTAATATGACTACTGTTATCACTTCATTGTTCTTGCAAATATTTTTGCTTTAAAGATATTTGTATTGATATAAAGTTAAGTTTGAAAATTGGTTAAAATCCTACATTTGTAAATCTAGCACTTTTTGTGATACCATTATTTGGCTGGAAATTATGGTAAATAGATTAGTTGGAAATTGTCAATAAAAAAATGTGGTGGAGTTACAGGCAGCACAGATATACTTACATCATAGAAGCCTTTATGTTTTGAGTTGAAAGTTATCACGTTTATAGTCTGTGGTTTGTTTAAATTACTATGAAATTGACCAAAGTGGGATTAATTCAAGAGCGATTTTCTCAGAAACCGTTAATAACGATTTGAAACAAGAGTACCTTTTTAACGTAAAACAGTTCGGGAAAACGGAATTTGCTGTCCAATTTGTTAAAAAGTCAAAGATGAAAAAGTTACACACGCAAAGTACCAAGGGCCCCCCCCCTTACCCACCCCAATGGACCTTGTGGAAATAAATGGATTAGTCCATCAAATTGCTCATCAAAATTTAGCTGTGTATACCAAATTTCTTTCATTTATCACAACGCGATTGAGAGATATTGCAAAAAAATGATTTCCATTCCTCCCTCTTCAATGGGTCCCTGTGCCCTTAGGAAGCATTTCCGGACCCATGTTCATATGAACTTTTTTACTTAGTTTTGATCATAGAATCGGCCTGTTCAGAGTTGGCAGCTAATTATGAGACACCCTGTATACCAATAATTAATGGTTAATGTATGAAATTATTTATTTACAATCTAAACTCTACTTGTTTCAAAAACAGGGAAATTCATGGCAGTACTAAACCCCCACCTTCAGCACATTTCTCCATTGATAGCATGAGGGTTGCTTTTTATATTTCGGGCATGGACGATCCTGGTGCTGCTATCTGAAAATCGATGTCCCTGAAGCCCAGATATCCACTGTACATCGGTGGTATACTAATTTCGTGAAGGTCATACAAAATCGGTTGTTGTTCCAGAAAACATTGATAATATTGCAAGACCTTCATGTGACTTATTTCAGATTGAGGCATCCTTAGGCATTAGTGGGACCAGCATACATTCAATATTGCATGAATATTTGCCATCAAAAAAGCTTTGTTCGCGTTGGATCCCACAAAATTTGACAAACACTCAAAAAAAAGGCTTGTGTTGATTGGTTGAAAGAAATGCTCAAGAAATACGATCGTAGTGCTTCAAAACACGTCTATGACATCGTAACAAGTGACGAATCATGAATCTATGCATTTGAGCTCGAAATTAAAGAGCAATCGACTTTCATCTGAGTCAAATCCAATAAAAATTGTTCGTGCATGAGCACTTCTAAGGAAGTTTCATTTTTTTGAAAAAACCAGACATGTGATAACTGTACCATTAGTGCAACATCGGATGGTCAATTCTGAATGGTTTGTCAGAAGTTTTCGGAAAATAAGGGAAACCAACCGCTGAAGATGCATCAGGGCAATGTGAGTTCTCACATATTGGCTCAATTGCTTTTGAGAACTGAAAAAGTCGAATTGATGAGTCATCCGATGTAAAACCCTGATTTGAGAACCAATAATTTTTTTTTATTCATGCACATCAAAAATAAATTACGAGATCAACGTTTTTCGACACCTGAAGAAGCGGTTGATGTACCAAAATGCATGTTTTAGAGCTACCTCAACTGGAAAGGAAAAAGTGCTCCGAAAATTGGTTCAAGCACATACAAAAGTATATTGATCTTCATTTATATTTTGAAAAACAATACAGTCATATATTTAATTTAATTTCTTTTTTTGTTCTCTATTCCCGAAATATAAAAGGCAAATCCTAGCGAGGGTTGCTTTCGGCATGCAGCAAAATAAAACTTTCTCTCAATGGTAAAAATATAAGTATTTTTATAGAAAACGAAGTTTGTGAAAAAGACGTGTTGTCAGAGCGAGCGTTTGCTGGAGAATCCTCTCGGTGTGGAGTCATTCGTAGGTATCTGATCCTTAGCGCCAGTTTGCCGTGGACCTTTTCTGGAACCCTGTTGCGTCCCGCGTCTGTTTTTTTTTTGTCCTTGCAACTGTTAGACTGGTCTGGGTGGCACCAAGGTGGCGCTATTGACGTAATACTTAAAATGGGTCACTTGCAGACATGTGTACCCACACTAGTATTTGTACACCGGCTCAGTGAATTTTTATTTCTAATTACATAAATTTATTGGTCCAAAGTTTCAGTCTACAATAAATATGGTCAAAGCATTTGACAATTTTTTTTAATTTCAATACTGTATCTAGAAAACAAAGGGTTTTATTGCATACCCCATATGAAACTTGTCTTTTAAAATGAGACATATTGCCACATGGTGAAGATTCCTGATTCAAAATTGGTCCAGTTTGTACAACATGCACCAAAATGAAATCTAACAGTAGCATTTTATTTTAACCTTCATCCTGGTTAAATGAAGCAGATATTTCATTTGAAAAATAAATATATACTAATATTCATAAGCATTCTACATATGTTTATAATTTTTCTTTTTTACAGGGCATACTTGAAGCAGATAGTTAAATTTGATAAAAGTGCGGATTATCAAATTTACCTTTCCTAGATGCTCATTTTCGACAATCTTATGATATTGTGACTTATTGTACCAGAACATTTTATTTGTATTAAATTATTCCAGTTTTAAGACTTTTCTTTATTACGAGTAGAAACACAAAAATAGTAAGAAACAATATAACCTTAAAAAATTGAAACTAAAAAATTCTTGTGGACTTAATCAGTATTTAAAACTAAGCAAACTCCTTGCAGCACCCAATGACTTATGTGCTCGGTGGTTCTCAGGTCTGCTTCAAATACCAAACCCACGCCCATGGCATTTCTCCTTAAAGATGTTGTGTACACAGGGGTTCTTAAAGTATTTTGTAACTTTAATCTATATGCTTCGATGGGAACTACACCAAGAACTGGCAATTTTTCTATTAAAACCTTTGGTGTAGACCTCTTTAAGCAATTGTTTTCTAAATCCCAAGCTGCCCCCTCTAAATACAAACCATGCACCAAGCAGTTTCCCTACAAGTTTAATTCGAGACTCGAGAATAAATTTTTTAAATTAAATAAGGTAATACCTGTGTTGGTTTCATAGCTACATCTGCAGGATCCATGTACTCAGTAACATATGTGTAAAGCGTAGATCTGTCCAGTGGCCAATTGTGGAAACGACATGCGATTTGAACCAATGCAGCAAGGTAAGTCTCTGGTATGTGAAGCCCAGATATCCACAAGACAGTTGGCTCTCCTGTTGTGGACTGCAACAACATACATATAATTTTATACCACTCGTGGCGTAATAATGATTACATTATTCAGAAAATAGGAATGTCTAGTATAGTAGTTATAAAATAATTTGAGTCAGTATCTGATGAAAGGAGGTTTAGTATGGAAATTATCGGGAGATATTGACTTTGTACATGGATTGGATTTAGACATTTCATGACGGAAATGAGCATAGTGGGTGAAACGCTTAAGTGGTTATACCTAGTTGGGTTGACTGAAAAAAAAAATTTTTTTTGTTGCATATCCTTTGAATACATTATCTCTAGAATATTTCTACAAATTTTTATAAGAACCATAGCATTCAAAAAAAATTATAGGAATTTGGCTTAAAGGCAATATCAATTCAATATTTTTAAGATCACAGTGGATGCAGAAAGGACCCTTTATGACCCTGGAATCGACAACATGATAAAAGGTAAAATAACGTTGATCCTAATGTAAAAATCGGAGATTTGAAATGCAATTATCTCAAAACTGTGTTTTTTTCAAAAACACCTTTCCCATGGCCACGATGATTCAAAGACTATTAATCCAATTGATTTAAAATTTTGTGTATTTATTTTGTTATAATGGGCACGGCTTAAGGAGGTTTGTCTGATATGGAATTGACAAACAAATATTCATAAAAAAATTAATATAAGCTTATAAATATGAAGAAAACCCTCAAAAAAAATTATGACTAGTTTCGATACCTAAGAGACGAGATATTAATAAAATAATTTTTCACAATTTAGTACGGAGACTTATGAGAAGTCCACAGCAACTTGTGTAAATAGGAAACTGATATCTAAGGAATTGTATGATAGCTCGTAGAAATCGATTAGGTACTTGTAAGATACATAATTTATAATAATTCTCCTTCAAACTGCTGTCATTGACTAACTTAACCTCCATATGTGTGATAGCGGCAACGCCGCGGTTCTCGATGTAGCGTATTATTTGAAATTTGCAGGTGTGGCATACGATGTACATTTCAAGCTTAGGCATCCAAACAAACAGAATGATCGGAAGCGAGCGAGCGAATGCTGAGCCCAGCGTGCCAGCCAAGTGCAACATTGCCAAATCTAAAGGCTTACTACTTTAGTCACTAGCGAATCTACAGAAACTATCATTTGACTTTAGATATACCCGATAAACCTCCTTAAAAGAAGATTTTTAATTTTATTCAAAACATTATTTGTTTCTCTTTTAAATTAAAAATAGAAAATATAACTGCTTGTATTTCTATCCATTCCACGTCTTCGCCAAGCCTGTGAAATTTTTGCAAAAATCATAGGTACTTAAGAAAAATTTGGTGAATAGTGTAATAAATTAAGAATTCTCAAGAATGTCTGACTGTTAAGTAATGTTTATTAACTTTCGGGTCAGCACTGGTTTTACAGTCCTCATAATTTTGGTCTGTAAGCTTACCTATATGTTGATTTATATAATATGATTCAATAAAAAAACAAGATCATTTACCTGAGCAGAAATTGACTTTATACTAAGCTGCACCTCTGTATAATGGCAAAAATAGCCAAGCATAATTTCCATATTTAAGCTTACCTATTTAATTTTTTTGTGGATATGTCCTTATTTAGGGTTGGAACTGTAACAAAAGCCAGATACGGGTAATTTATGGGGTGGTTTTCAGAAAGATTGGGGCTGGGGATAGTTCTATTAGGCCTTCTAAGAAACAACCACTGCCGGACAAGGGTCAAGTAGTACCTATAGGCGCCGTATATGTATTTAAAGGGTGGTTTGAGAAGCTTTTTGTCGTGGGGACTAATAAACTTACAAACCGATAATTAGAACAAGACCATGAAATCCCAAAACACTGGGCAAAGTAACTTCTTGAAAATGTATCGCCATGTGAAAGTCATTTGTTGCGTCCGGGGGCACTAGCCTAGTCTAGGACGGAAAAAAGAAATCCATATTTGTAATAGCACGTGAAACACGAGAATGGCATAGAGATTCCAAATTAGAATTAAATTAAGTTGTTAAATTGATAATTGGAAAGGAAAGATATATGAAAAGCTGTTTTTTCCCACGGGTTCTTTTCCCAACTATAGAAAAAAACAATAGAATGATAATATTGACCATCCCGTCTCGTATCACTTGCGGTACGAGGTCACTATAGGAAGGTGTCGGATTACTTATAAGTTCAGTTAGTCACAGAAGTATTCATACAAATGTAAATCCAGTCAATTAGGGAACTATTAACATGATATAATTACGCCATTCCAACCCCCGATATTCAAGGATCCCGCCAATAAGATAAGAACCGAAACTTCTGTACCCAACAAATTGGCGAAGCGAGGTGTCAAATTCAGGAGAAATTTCAGAAAAAAGCAGTTCTTAGATTCCACACTGGCCAGTCTACATGGTTCTTAGATTCTCAGGTTAATTTTATAATAAATAGTGTTTCCAAATTTTGCTATGAATTCGCATTGAGTTTCCTGAATCTTGGATAGCATGGTCGCGTGTAAATGAATTAATAATGTTTGTTCGAATCTGTTGTGTCTTCGCTATTTTGTTTGTTTTGAATGTTTTGTTTTATCGTTATTAAAAAACCTTCCTCAAAGTTTTGGTGTTTTCTTGCTGTTATAAATTAAGTGTCCATCGAGTGAGAGTGGAACACCCTGTATAACCAACACCTGGATTATACTCTATGTGAGCGACGTACGGTAAGTGTCTGAAATTCATTCTCTGAACGTACAACATTTCTAAATTCCCGCGTACCAATTAAAATGTAAATAATAATTATAAACTCCCTATCGAGAAGTAAATGGTAAACTCTTTTGCAAGTTAATATCGTTATGATACTGATCATAACGGTAGATAGATAAACAAGTAATCCCTTCTACAGAAGTGTCGAATCATATTAGCCATATGCTTTACTAGTTAAACTCTGAAAGCTTCTTTAGTTTTATATAAAGCAAAGTGAAAATTTATATTTTGAAAAACTGTATGAAATCTTCTACAATCTTCCACTTTAAGAATAATCAAATTAGAATTAAACTCTTCACCCAAGATTAAAAAAAATATATAACATACCCATGTAAAATATTGCTGCTGTCTCATTTCAAAATGCTCCATCCACCCACCCAAATTCTTACAGGTGGCTGGAGCTAACTTGCGCCATACATTTGGCAATTGTCCATTGAACAACGAGTAAGCAACATTATCCAATATGCTATCCATTCCAATTTCGCCGGCCAGCGCCTTTTGCAACTGAATTAGAGTCCTTCTCATGGTCGATATGAGTTTATTGAACCTTTCCAGCTCTTGCAGGAGGACGATTATTGTCGGAGACATCATTCTTTGGAAGTATCTTCGGACCTTCCAAATTTCATAAGTTTCTGGAATCTTTTTCAATATGTCAGTAGCTACCAACGCAATGAATTCCTCTCTACTTATACCTTCTCCCGAAGCCGCTGTAATGGGTAGTTTATTAGAGGAAATTTTTATTGTATATTTTAAATTACTTACAACTTTGTGGTTGTAATTCAATGAGTAAGTTCCACATTTCTTTAGTGGCTTGGGTGTAGTAACCAATTTCAGCGTTAGGGTGTAACCCAAATACCTCCGGACTATTTGCTAATGGCAGTTCATCAATAAATGCTAAAAATGCAATAATAGTACACCAAATTACTTATTTGAATACCTACATTTTCTATAATTAGACTATTTGGGGGTACACATCATTTAGTTTTTTAAGTTCCACATAAAACGTAATTTGTGATTTTCTATGTAAAGTATTAATAGTGTTTGTGTGTCTTCACTGTTTAATTTTTGTGTGATATTATGCAAAACATGTATATACAGTATGTCCACGGTTAGAGTGGAAGAGAAAAAATTTTTTTATTTTTCATTTTACGAGAAAGAGGCATTCTTGATTAAAATATTTACTTGTCTTTAAAATGCAGTTGACATGAAGAACTTTTGTCTTGCATGTACAAGATTATCAGAAAATCGGTAAATATAAAAATAGTTCAAGAATAAACTGCCTTTTATTGTTTACCATTCAGATATAATTGGCATGAAGAACTTTATTCAGTAATTTAGGAAAATTGCTTAGAATTTAAATTTATATCAACATTTCAATTTGTGAATGAATCGGCCTACTTTGATAGAAACGGACAGTAAAATATTTTTACTGTTCATTTTATGAAAAAAAGGCATTCTTGATTAAAATTTTTACTTGTCTTTAAAATGCAGTTGACATGAAGAACTTTTGTCTTGCTTGTACAAGATGATCAGAAAATCGGTAAATATAAAAATAGTTCAAGAATAAACTGCCTTTTATTGTTCACCATTCAGATATAATTGGCATGAAGACCTTTATTCAGTAATTTAAGGAAAATTGCTTAGAATTGAAATTTATATTAACATTTCAATTTGTGTATGGATCGGCCTACTTGGATAGAAACGGACAGTAAAATATTTTTAATGTTCATTTTACGAAAAACAAGGCATTTTTGATTAAAATTTTTGCTTGTCTTTAAAATGCAGTTGGCATGAAGAACTTTCGTCTTGCATGTACAGGGGGACCAGAAAATGGGTAAATATAAAAATATTTCGAGAATAAACTGCCTTTTATTGTTCACCATTCAGATATAATTGGCATGAAGACCTTTATTCAGTAATTTAAGGAAAATTGCTTAGAATTGAAATTTATATTAACATTTCAATTTGTGTATGGATCGGCCTACTTGGATAGAAACGGACAGTAAAATATTTTTAATGTTCATTTTATGAAAAAAAAGGCATTTTTGATTAAAATTTTTGCTTGTCTTTAAAATGCGGTTGGGACAGGAGAATGTTCACCTTGCATGTACAGGGTGGGCAAATAAGCGAGGTAAGCGGCTGTATCTCAGAAACTAGTGATCGTAGAGAGCTACGGAAAAAAATTTCATAGGTAAAGTGGGCAAGGGAAAATGCTGGAAATTATTTTCAAGTTTCCAAGATGGCCGCCAGTGGGCGTTTCCACCATATTGAATTACATAAAGTTACGTTTCTCACGATTTTCCCCAATGAATGTAACAAAAAAGTATTTGCGTTTTAATGTTAACTTAAAGTCGAACATTTTTTGTAAAAACAATTTTTCTCTATCTTTCGAAATAAAGTGGTGGGGGGTATTTGAATGTTGTTTGAAATAAATGCCTGTAACTTCGAAACGGCTTAATGGATTTGGATAAATTTGGTATCATTGAAAAGAGCATTTCTTGGGCTTTTAGGTTTCTCGTAATCATGACAGTTGCGACCTACACGGCCGCCGATAGAGGGCGTTATTCGATATTATAACCAAAATATTGGATTTTCTCAAAAAATTTAAATGCGATGATATGACTTTTTTTAGACTAGAAAATAGACAAATGACCAACCAATAAGCCTGCGCAAACCGCATCTTAATATCTTTTTCCTAACTCAAATTATT